ATTTGCATATGCACACTCGCACGAACCAATGGTGCTTAAATTTGTTCTTTTCCTGAGTTGGCAGCACGATTGCAAATGCACGGAGCGTGTTTCATTGGCTTCTCTATCAAAGCAGAACAACAGAACGAGACACATAACGCGAAGCATTACGACGTACGGAGCAGTGACTACAAGCAAGCACGCATCCAACCACAAGTTCACGAGCATGCGACATGTGTACCCCGTTCTCCGTTCTCCCTTGTCTCCCTGACTCAGTTATATCTATTTCTGCGTCATTTTGGGGCTGAATGGTTCACTTTCTTGTCGACATGGGGTGGTAAGACGCCATTCCCCGACCAATGCACTTCCCTGTGCACCACGATATGTAACACGGAACTTTCTCCTACATGGCTGTCTCTGCTGTGCATGTTGTGCAACACCACCGAGACCCCAAACCCAACGACCTCAATAACGGCCTGATAAAAGACAGGCAACGTCAGGTGTCTTGTCAAACGAGTTCACCTCTGGGGCAACTGACATGCAACTCGCGTCGCCCTTCATTCCTCGCTTACACCTCCCCCCTCAGCACGTTACCGGTGCCCACCAATCACATCCAATAATGGTATCAAAGGTTCAAAAGCAGGGCTTGTACTGCTCGAACATCAAACGTTTTACCGGTATATTACGTTTATCGATCATCAAAAACGTCGAATGTTGAGGTATCGTCTCAGCTCGCCACCACCAAAGCGCGGGCAGTACCTCATACGAATCTTCGCCATACGGAGTAGTAGGACAATTCATTTTCGTCCTCCGGCCACCTGGAAGCGAGATTGACCCCCGCACTACGGAAGAGACGTCGCGAAGAAATGTCGTTTGTGGGTACGTAAGAGCCTTGATTATTTTGATTTTCTGATTGATTCCCATCGTTGCATGCAGCCAGATCCGCGTCCGCCCCATCCTCCCCAAGCAATCGGTGGTATTGGTAAAGGAGAATATTGCTTCTTTCACATCCGAGCCTGTTCCTCTTTCTTCCATTCTGTGTTCTTTTCATTTGCTGTGCATTCTTACTGGCTTCTCGATTCCCCAGCTTAAGTTTTAGTGTGCAGGGCGAAAGCCCGGGCCATCGAGCTGAAGGAGCGTCGAAACTCATTGCTGACGCCCGGTGATGAAAATAGGAAAGCCTAACGAGGCCAAACGAGCACGGTCATCCTCTCTTTGCAAGGATGCTTTTGCTGGGAAGAAGCATCCTTGCCTGTTTGCATCCCCAGGTCTTGTGCTGCATGCCTCTATTTGGTCAAGCTTCATTTTCTCCTCCCTTTTTGATGTGATGTCCGACCCCTGGATCCTGGCTTTCAGGTCTCGCCCCTGCTGAGGGTGCAATTTGACATCCGTCGTTCAAAGCCATTGGTGCAATTAATTGGGACTTGCCGAGCTTGACCGACGCGCTTTCGTATTGGCGGACACGAAACTGCCCATCCGACGACAGCAATAGCAGATAGACACTCCTGTCGAAGTGCCTTGTACGCTCCGCACCCCGCTTCTGGATATATGCGCAAAGGAGTGTGTACAGTATACACGAAGCGTTACTCCCTACTAAGAAGGGAGAAGCTGAAAGAGTGGTACGGAAAAAAGGAAAGAATTCGGGGAGTCGGGCAACACAGAACAGTGTGACGAACGAACCGCCCTAGCCTTGGCTTTCAGAGACCGAATCACATGAGTGACTCAAGCGGAGTACACAAAAGAGCCACGGAGGAAATGTCCAGGGCCGCGACGATCGACACACTTTGCAGAACGGGCAAGACGGCGTATTGTTACTCTGTATGCGTGGAACCTTACGAGACTGCCGGCCTTGCATCATAAGGTTGCTCCGCGCGCGGTTGTACTTCAGAACCAACTGCAACGTTCGATGTACCGCATTGCGCATTTGTGTCTCGACAAGAAATGGAGACGAGGAAAAAGGAGGGCATCGATCGAGACACCAGCCGGACCTTCCCACTGCCAGCCTCGACCCTTGCATTCGTGTGTCTGCCTCTCGCTGTTCCTCAAGCTCCATGATGGTTGCAGCGAGAGCAAAAGAATGTACCTTTGTGTTGTTTTGGGCTGGTACAACTGTTATTACTCTCTCCTGACTCTTCTGTCTTTCTCAGTCTTCAGCTCTCACCCTCGCATCAGATCCTTCCTGTTTATATTTATATTTTACGTTCTCAGCATGCCAGGTGAGGCAGCCACAAAGCCAGGAAACAGACAGGGCCACACTTGCATGGGTTTTCACCACAACCATCACCAACAACTTGTCTGTTGGCGCCATGGCGCTCACCGACGAGTTATCGCGGGGTCGACCAGGTGCCCGGGAGGCGAAGCCTGTTGTTCGACCCCGGCAGGCTTTCATCTCCTTTTATTTCCTTTTCGTTGTTTTGAGACACCATTGTTGGCTTTTAGTTGACTGAGCAGCGGGCCGCATTCAAGCCGGTCGATATCGACCCCAATGACAACAGTCCCTACGACATATTCATTGTCTAGTTTGGCTCTTCCGCTTGGGTTACCCGCTACCTTTGATTTCCAATTCGCCATCTCCATCGCCAGAGTCCGCCTCTCTTCACCGACAAATCGAGTTGGTCGCTTGATGACGTCTTGAACGAAAAGAGACGAGAGACGACCGAAATATGCCGACGACAGCGACATCTGCAATAACCAAGACGATCGACGTCCCGAAAACGAAGCCAATAACAGGGCCAAGCGAGCCGAGGTTTCGCGATGTGAGCGTGAACAGTGTAAGAGGATGCACAATGCACCGGCACTAGCACCTCACCTGACCCCTCCATGTAGACGGGATGTGATCTCTACCGTGGAGCCACTTGCTCCATGGTGTTGTCCTGGACTTGTTTTCTTGGAGTCCCAGCGCGTCCAGCCTGATGAATGCCGCTTCGAAGGGCCATTGTTTGGATGTTGTTGTTCCAGTTCCCATCTGGCGGTGACCTAGCCTTGCTGCTAGTCGCTGTTAGCTGATGTTAGCAAATAGCTAACGAGTGTTAGCGAGTATTGGTAACCATTCAAACCATTGTTTAGATTCCATCGGGTCGGGGTCGTCCGTATTCGGGGACTTCTGACCTGGTGATCATCCGAAAAGAGGCTTGTGAGTTACTTTTCAAGATCCTATCCTTTGCCGTGTTATTGACGCATCTTCGAGCATTGTTCCCTCCCTTGCGTCTACCCGATTCTCCCAATTGATACACAAGCGGCTGCACGGAGTATTATTTACAATTTTCGCCTTTGTTCTGCCTGCCGACCAATGAAATGGCAATGTCAGAAAGCCATTCCCTCTCGCTTCCACGATCTCCCTACTGGCTCCCATTTTGGGCTGTTCCCGTCTAGGCTAGCTTGGCCTCTTGTCATGTATCTTGTCTTGTTTTGTCGTTCCTTTTGGGTCTGGTCTGTCAGGACTATGGAGTTTTAGTCTTGAAGAAATTCCAGCAAAAGGGACAAATTGGTCCCTGACGCAAGGGGGGCCTTTTACTTCGTCCTGCCTGCAGAAATTAGCCGGAGTCCATGTCGTACGTACGGAGTACGATTTACAAATACATGTTCGGAGGTCTTTGTTGCGGAGGAACACACCGTGCCGACCCACCACCTGAACCCCTGTTCAAGGTTGGACGATCTTCTCTCTTGCTGGTGCTCCACAGCTCTCTTCTTGCTCTCACCTTTGTCTTTTTATCCACAACTCCTTGCTTCAATGGGTTTGGTGATTTCGGGGCGTCCTCTGGGGATCTTGAGATATTTCTGTGAACTGGAGCCCCTGTTGTCTGTTTCCAGCTGGTGATTCGCAGGTCCTCGAGCCAGGTGTTCGTCCAGCTGAAGCACTTATGCAGCAGTTCCTTCTTCTTTTCTTTTTTTGTAGTCTTTCCTTACCTTGGACATGGACCAGGATGTCGACCAGACTAGCAGGGCTTTCCCTGGGGCTGGGACAGAGCCATGAGCTGAGATGCGAGCGAAACGAGGCTATGACGAAAGAAGCAATTAAAATGAAAAGACCCAAGCGCACACCGGCCAAAAGAGGAATACGACGGGACGCACAAGTCGGAACCTACCCTCTTCTCGGGATACAAACGACTGGACGAACTAGACATACTTGCAATACATCGACTGTTGTTGTCTCTTAGCATGTACCGTTGTCAGATGTTGGGCGGCAAGGATGGCGCAACCTGGAAGCCGTCAGACATCCAACTGTCAAACTGTACAGGTTGACAGCCAATTCTCGATCCTTGGGAGGCTTCTCCTTGCTTCATTTCAATCCTTCCTTTGTCGTCTTGTCTCATGCGGTGATGATTCAGCGTTGCATACCAGGCATAGTTGTCTTCAGTTAAAAAAAACACTACCTCCTCTCCCTCCTAATTTCTGTGCCGAATACGCGGAACTGAAAACGTGTGGGTGGGTGGGAAGAACCGAAACCGAAGGAGGCTGGATAGGAAGAGCTGAAAGGCTCGGCAATGGGAGGGCTGGTGAACCATCGCGATCAGCATGTTTATCTGCAGAGGCGACAACAAAAGCTCCGAGTAAGGGCCACGCACTTTGACGGGTTGTGATACCCTGCCGTGTCTCGCACTTTCACCGTCTCCTGCCTTTCAACTTGCGGAATATTGCAGTCACATCAAAATAAAAGTATTCAAAATGTATACAGAAAGTGCAAAATTGTCCACGTAGAAAGAACAAGAGGCACACCACGTCCTGCATGTCGCAGTCGTTGGCCTTACTCTGCGAAAACGCCATCTTTTTCGGTCTGTCCCCCGTCCCCGAGGCTGCCCAAAGCCCAAAAGACAACCCAGAAACCAATAAGTGTGAGACATGCATTCAGCCCTCGCCGGCCACCACCTTTTCCGATTCCTAAAGCCTCTTGCCCAAACCAAGACAAAAGAAAAGTACCAGAGGGTATTTTTAGATCTGATAACGATATGCCGTAGAGACAACAGGCAAAGAAGAAGTCAAAAAAAAAGAAAAAAAGAAAGAAAGAACAGTGATCGTCCACATCACGTGTCGTCATCGCTGCCTGGCTCCGGCTGATCGCGCGGCGGCCGCTCGTGCGGACTCCAGCCACGGAACCGGACCTCCGTCTTTTTGGAGCCGCCCTTGCCCGACGACAGCAAACCGGCACCAGCTGCGCCCGGCGTCGACAGCTCGTATCGGCCGCCCAGCACCAGATCCTTGGCCACAAGCTCGCGCGTGCGGCCGAGACTCTCAATGTCGGCGATCCGCTGCACCGTCGCATCCAGGTGCTGCCGGAACCCGGGCGCCCCGCAGATCTGCCGCAGCGCCTCTTGCATCGGCACCGAGGACGCCCGGACCTGCCCGTTGCTCGCAATCGTAAACAGGTTGCGCCGGTCCATCTCCCGCACAAAGTCGGCCCGCGTCATAATCTGCTGTGCTTCGTGCAGCGCAAACGACGGCAGCTGCCTGCGCTCCACCGGCGCGTCCGTCGTCGTGTTGTCGTTGGGATTGCTGACACCCGAAGCACCAGAGGCAGCCACAGCGGCAGCAACGGCCGTACCTGCATTTGGGTCTTCCTCGCCACCGCCGGCATTGGGTTTGCCTGCCGCCTCGGCCGCCTCCTCTGCCTCTTTGTCGACAAGCGCCTGAGCCAGGACCATGGCCGCTGCGGCCCACTTTTGCTGGTCCATGACATCGTCGTCCATGTCGCTGCCCAGCACCCAGCACTGGTTGAGGAACCACGTCTTCTCTGCGTCGATGATCCGCCGGCACGTTGCCAGCATATCGGAGCTGCGCGCCACGCGGTTCAGAAACGTCAGCCGCCCGCCAACGTGGTCGTATACCTCGGACGCCGTCGCGTTGCTGACGCGCTCGCCAAAGTACCGCCACCGGAACCGCTGCAGCGTCACCATGGCCGGGTGCCGCGCGAGGTCTTGGATGCTGTGCACCTCCATGCGCGCCGCCAGCTGCTTGAGCCGCTCGTACACCCAGTAGTCGTCGCTGTTGAACACCATCGTCACAAGGCCGGCGGCCGCCCACTGCTCGGCGCGCTGTTGGAGCAGCTCGATGAGGTCGCGCCCGTCGTCGTCGTCGCGAATCAGGTGCATCTGGTTGACAATCACGACCAGCGGGCGGCGTGCCTTGCCGGCCTGCGTGCGGTTGCGCTGCCGCAGCGCCACCTTTTCGAGTTTGTTCAGCGCCCGCTCAATGTCCAGCAGCGCCGTGCTCTCGCGGGGCCCTCGCTCGCTGAAATACCCGCCAATGTAGTCCTCATTGAACTCGTAGTTCAGCGCCTTGCCCAGGCGGATCCGGAAGATCTCGAGGTCGGCGTGCGCGTCGAACATGGACACGCCCTCGCCGTCGATCTGCGCCATCGCCTCCAGCTGCATGCTGCTCTTGCCCGTGCCCTTTTCGCCAATAAACAGGTGGTAGTGCCCAATCTCGCGCCCGCCCACAATGTCGTTGACCTTTTTTTGCTCCGGCCGCTCGATCCAGTAGTTGCCGCGACCGTCGTCGCCGTCCCCACCCTCTCTCTCACCTTCACCCTCGCCCTTTTCCAGCGCAAGGTCGTGACTCTCGTCGGCCGCGTGCATCATGCCCGCCGCAGCGCCCGCCAGGTGCTGCGGCACGCCGCGGCCCATGGATGCCAGCTCCAGCACGGGGTCGCCCGGCTCAAACGCCAGGACCATCTTGCGGAGCACGAGGTGCTTGTAGTACCGGTGGTACCCGTAGCCCGCAGCGCCAAAGCCCAGCGCGAGCATCAGGATGGACGCCAGCGATGTTGCCGCCGACTCGAGCATTTTGGCGCCCAGCGAACCGGAATCGGAGCCGGAATCGGAGCCGGAGCCGGAGCTGGAACCAGCGCTGTCGCCGTGTCTGCTCTGCTGGCACTTGCTCTCGCTGCCGGCATTGCTGTCATTTGTCTCTGATGGCGGCGGCGTGGGTGCGGACGAGGAGTAGCACCGCCGTATCCGTGACCGATTGCGCACGGCGCGTAGTCTGTACGCGTCCGGAACGGCCCCATGAGCTGTGCATATTGTCTGGCGGCCGGGATTCAGTGAGCCAATCCAATACGCTGCGCCCTGTCGCGGCGTATAAGTCGCATAACCTGGCGCCTGAACGGAGCCGCATCGGGCGCCCACCGCTGTCCGCGCCTGCGCATGCCACGCGTGGAAGTGCGGCGCCCGCATGGTCAAGACCACAGGCTGTGTTTCTCGTGCTTTTCGTAGTTGTCGTCTTTGTCGTGATATTCCGCTACAACGATGCCATGCTCTTAACGGGGTGGGTGAAGCCCAGAGAAAGGACGCGTAGGATCGAAGGATGCAGAAGAATAAAACGGAACAAAAGGAACAAAAGTTCAATGCACAACAGATCGAATGCTCGGGGCGAGGGATGGAAAAGGGATAAGCTGAGCCAAGAGCTCTGAAATTAGCAACTGGAATAATGCCGTGGTTGCCTCAGATTTTGAAAGCGGTTCCTTGTCCTACACACAATAGCTGAAGAGCGCCAAGGCGCCTTAAACAGGAAAGAAGCTGGATTGCCAAAGCTGGCAGCTGCAACTGGCGGGCGCAGCTACGGCTTGGTGGAGCAAACCAATCCCCACACGTGACGTACTTCTCAATTGGTGCTTGTCTTTGGCGCCCGTCTCGAGTCCCACAGCTTGGCAGGGACGACAAGCTGTCAGCTGCCAGCTGCTGGCACCTGCACCGCTAGAGAGCACTTACACTGGGCCGCTCCTTCCATATTTGACGATGTTCTTGCCTACATTGAGCATCAAAAGTTGTTCGCGGGCCCAGATCGCTCTTTCCATACTTGGTAATTTTGCTTTTCGATGCTCGGTCGTACCTTCCTTTCCTTTAAACTGCCCCTCCTCGCCCCTCTTCTACCGTTGCCGGAGTATCTCCTTCCATTCGAAATGCTATCCAAATGCCAACATCCTCATCACCGCAATATTTCTTCCAACTACGATTTACACACCACCATTTCACATCTCTACAGATCTCACCGCCTGTTTGATTTTCACTTCACTTCTCTCCACACATATCTACTTTGTTTTGGTGCTTTCAACCAGTGCTACTTTGGGCACAGCAACTAGGAACACATCTGGATCGCTTGAGCATGGCTGATCGATAAAATGTCTTCTTTATTTGGGCCTAGTCCGGGTACGTTCTGTATTCGCATCCAACCTGCAAGTGGTTTGACAAAGCATAGGATGCACCAACTGACTCATTAACTTGTATGTTTGCTCGCCAGCCCGATTACCATCGCCAGCGTCACTCCTTCTCGAGGCGTGGACGAACAATGTCGAGACCAAGAAACTTGTCGAGGAGCTTTTGAGTCGCGAGGACCTCAATAACAACGAAACCAGCGACGCTCCTCTCCTGTCTGACGCCAGGGAGATCCGACAAGATGCGCTCAAGAGCCGCCTAGCCGCTTTTGACCGCAACATGTCAGTCGTGAGCGCGGTTGTCACCGCCATCAAAGCGCTCAAGAAACCCTCTTCGCACCTCAGCGTGCTAGCCGGCAGTATCAGCGGCATGTACGACCTCAAAGTTCCCAAACGGGAAAGTATCCGGGGCGAAACGTACCGCTTGCTGACCGCCGTCTTCTTCGTCGACGAGGAGGAAGTCGCTTGGGACAAACATGACCTCGTCAATGGCATCGACGCCATCACTGGCCTTGAGTATCGTCGGCGCCAAGACCTTGAAAGCATTGCTACGAAGCTCGGTATTTGTAGCCCGGGCCAACTTGCCATCGCCCGCCGCCGCATGGATCCATCGCTCGACATTGTGGAGCTCCTCATTGCCCAGAACATGCAGGCGGAATATCTCTTCCGCACGATTTTTCTCGGGACGCGAATTTGCGTACGTTTATAACTTGTCAAATTGCTTACAGGTGCCAGTAGATACTATAACTAACTCAGACTATGTACGCAGACCATTTGCCACCATCTCAACGAGAACACCAACATCCAGTTTGTGCTTCAGCTTCTGAATGCGCTTTTCCCTCCATACCTTGCGACGTACCCGGTTCCATGCATTGACGTCCAAGAAGTCCGCGCCTTGCGCGAGACTGTCTATCTTGCTCTCATGGATTCGGATGTCCAGTTTGAAGGCGATGATGGTGGAATAGAAGCGGCCACCCTGCAAAAGAATCTCCTCGCCCAGATCGGCATCGACGGCTATAGAACTGAGGTCTACCCTGCGCTCATCGAATATTTTGCCCGCGTCGAGTCTGTGAAAAAGACGTACGAGGAGCTCCATGGTACACCGGAGGTCGGCTTAGATACCACGACTGACTACCTTGTTGACGGTGAGCCTTTGCTTGGGGCAGATTCAGGTATGCCCATTGCCACAGTGCGTGGACCAGACGAGCGCCCTGATTCCACGGCCAGTTCTCAACATGGGCCCACCAAGTCCATTCTTAAGAACTCCTTTTCTTCTATGTCCGGAGAGACCACTTCGACCTACGCGTCTTCGTACGGGTCTGGTTCTGAACTCGTCATGCACCCGCTGGCGAGAGACTTGAGTGGACTCGATGAGCACGAGTTGCTTCGGATGGGCCTCGCCCTTCCAGCTGCCAGCCTTCGGAGCCACCAAGCATCCTTTGACAGTTCCATTGCATCACCGCTCGTCCTAGCCAACATGAGAGTGCAGCTCAACCTAGCAGACGAACTCCAGCGCGCATCTGGTTCCTTCGGCTCAGATTCCATCTCGCCGTCTATTGTGCCAGAGGGTCTTGCGCAGCCTGGGCCGACAGCCGTTATCAATGAAGACGACGATGTGTTTGCCACAGCTGCCGAACGGAAAGAAAAGGACAAGGTGGTCGACCTCAGTCCGCAAGAATCGTCGATGGAAGACCTAATGGATCATGCCTTGCAACAAAATGACGAGCCTCATGGATTGACCGAGTTCCCTCAGCTGCCCGTGCCCAAAGTCGCTAAATCGGCAGTGACTTTGCGGGAGCGGCCGACCGTGCTCGCGACACCCAGACCGTCGGAGCGCACCATGCATCTGATCAAGTCGGGATGGAAATCCACCGAGTGCCTGTTTGCAAAATTCAGGGGACAGGAGCAGAATGCCAATGGTGATCCGGCTGTTCCACACGCCTTGACAACTGTGGATAAGCGCCTGTGTTCACAGCGCCGGCCATCGAAATCCGTGCGCTTTTCGGATGAACAAACGGCGTCAGAAGACTTGGAGGCCGATCACTTGCCGGGCATTACGTCCGAACATGCACCGGACCGGCTCTCTACTACCAAGCACGACACCAATGCCAGCGACGCTGTTGCCACAAACGGCCCATCCGGCTCAGCTCGTCGACCCTCCGACCCATGGCAATACACCCGCGACTACCTCTTGGAGAAAATTAAAGCAGGTAAAGAAGGGCGAGACTGTTCTCTTGCCTCACCTTCTCCTGAATGGTTCGAGGAAATGGACGGCGGGGTTCCTAGCCGCCAATCTATTTTCTCTCCCCGGTCTGGTCTCGAAGCCGCCCATAAGATGATTTCGGGACATGGACGGAAACCATCGCTCATGCGGACAGTTTCTAGCGAAAGCAGTGTCTCTGTGAGGACGATGGCTTCAGGCGCACCAAGCTCCATCGGCGACCTGGACAGCATTCTTCTTCACGGCATGGGTGGGCTGAATCAAGTGGCCGTCGGAGCTTAGTCGGCTCCCAACGCCAACGACGAAGACACTGTCCAACCCAAACTACCACCGGCTACCGAGTCAATTGTTGTGCAGAAACGACCGCGGACACTTCTCCGGAAACGAAGTATGCAACCGAGAGGGCCCGATTCGGTCATCGTCGATGCAAAGGACGACACCAACACCAAACACAGAATGGACCAGCCTGCCGACACAGCTCTGCAAGAAGGAAAAACAACTATGGTATCGCCGCAGGTGGGTAAACTGACATTCGAAATGGCCCGGTCTGAGTCCAGTAAGAACCTGGATCTCAATGTCAAGCTCTTCCAGCGCCAGTCGTTGCTCCTGGCAGCCCAGAAGCAGATGGAAAGCAACAAGCAGAGACAGCAGAGACTGAAGCTTCTTGAAGATGTCGCTCCATTTTTGGGAGAGGACATTACCAACCATCCCTCATTGACGAAAACAGACAACAATTCTGTTCTCCCTAGAGTAGAGAACCAGAACGATTTCGGCAGCTTGATTGCCTTCCAGAATAGCAAAGGAAAGGAAGCTGGATTGACAGAGGTGTGTGAGCCCTTGGGCCCTGTCACTCCGAGTAGCACCCAGAACAGCTGTGCGAGCAAGGGGAGCTCGTTCAGTGCCAGCAACTCCTTGAGCAAGATCGGCGACAGTCTGGGAGGCGGCATGCAGAAACTGAACCTGTTTTCCACGCCGCGTCGTACCTCTCGGCGTGGCCATGTCCGGTCTGTTACACAACCTAACAATGACTTCAATGGCTTCAATGTCGCTGCTGAACATGTTACGGGAGGTCGCAGTTTTCGCATGGGAATTCGCAACAGAGAGGCATCCTCGGTCAGCCAGCCAGAATCCCGGCCCCAGACGGCGTCTGATACAAGGAGCAAGGACAACAGCTCGGGCCACGGGCGAACTCGAAGCGACAGTAGTTCTGGTCCCTGTGCTACTATGGCTGACTTCGCGCTTCCGTGCGTACCCAACGAGATGGAAGGAAGCTTTATGCTGATGCCGGAAGAGTCGAAGGAGAACCGTGAGAAACGAGATGCCTGGTTCCGCGAGCGTGCCGACCAGGAGATGCGCAGCCGCAACGAGAAGCGGCGGCGCGAGACAGAACGGGAGGCAGCACGCGAGCTGGGCCTCCGGGAGCGAAACATGCTCAACGACATCGTGCTGGGCGTGCGCCACGAACGACAGAAGAAGACCAGCAAGAAGCGGAAGCCGTCCGGGTCATCCATGAGCACAGCGGCCGGCGCGGAAAAGGAAGTTGTCTTGCCGGACAAGTCGCCACCGCCTCCGTCGACCTTTTCCAAAGCGTGGTCGACGCTGAAGAAGGGTACCGGCCGCATTCGTCTCACGCGCAAGTCGACATATGATCTGCGTGACATGGCAGAGAAAATGGCACCGCCTGCGCCACCTTTGAAGGAGCGAGGTGACAGCAGCAACACGTTTGCCAGTGTCGACGAGGATTCGGATGATAGCATTGTGCAGGACAAGACCGCCGAGCTCGTGTCAGAGCCAGAGCCGCAGTCGCTGCCGCAGGATATGGCCGTCTCGGGAAATGGACAAGTGAGCCATCTGACAGCGCCTTCGCGCAAAGAGAAGAAGCTCAGCCAGGAAGAATTGTGGGACCTGCTTTCCATCCGCCCGCCCCAGCGGCGTCCGTCGGAGCCGCCCCTACCACTCTTTGTGACTGGCAACCCGGAGAGGCCGGCCAGCTCCGGTACGCAACTCTCCATCTGTCGTCAACTGGGCCCCGCTTCGCCACCGCCAATGTCCCCGTTGCCGCCTCTACCACCATCAAGGACAACCAGTCGTGCCACTGAGGTGAATGACAGCGGTGAAGAGGAGGGGCTGTTGTCTGATGATGATCAGGAAAGCTCGGATTTTTTTGAAGAGTTCTTCAGGGAGGGATGCCGGCCTGAAACGCCACTGGGAAATCAAATGCACAAATCCTCTGGCGAGCCGATTGCCTCTTCGCCTGAATCCAATGTGGCCCACGGAGGCTGCCACGCACGGGGCCGGAGCCTCATGCAGAGGCTGGAAGCTGCGGAGACGACGCTTGCTGCAAGTGCTGTAACGGGCAGCGTTGACAGCGTTGACAGCGTTGGTAATATTCATTGCAAGCTGGGAGAGGGTCCCAAACTGCGTATCAACGAAGACGTTGAAAAAGATGGCGAGAAGATCGACGAATAGAGTTTTTGAAGACGATCGAGGATGGAGATGAAGCCGACAATATTGAAAGGTTGGACGAAGAGACAGGGAAGACGGCATGAAATGCTGCAGTGGGGCCATCGGTAGACGGTTTTCATAATGGCAGAGACGGAGGCAGTTGTGGTGAAGGAATGGCGGTTGGAGACGATTTCATGGAAACTTTTGGTAAAGGGAATTCCAAGTGAATGCGCAGGGTGAAGGAATAGGACCCCGCAGATATAAAGAAGTCACATATCGAGAAATTCGTTTGCATCTCAGAAACACTGCACATTGCAATTCACTTCCTTCTCATGCTTCTCAATGCTCATGCATTGCTCCCAAAAATGACCGTAAAGTGGTTTTGTTATGCGGAGGTGCTGTCTTAGTCTTTGGTGTAAGTGAGAAGTGACGTCCAACAAAAGTGGGACCTCTTGCTGGCTTGCAGAACGGCCCCGGCCCCTCTGTCGCGCAAGCTCGCCCCACTTTCTCTCCAATGGCTCTTTTAGACTGTTATTTTTTTTCATGTTTTTTCTCTATTAAATTTTATTCGGTCGCCAAACGTTCACAGTCCCAGCCTCCCAGACCACGGCGCACGAAAGTACAACGCAGCGGCGGTCCCAGAACGCCTCACGGCCAGCAGAAGACGCGACAGTCTGCGCAATTCATTAACGTGACAAAGTCTTTGTTTGCGCATGTTCCTAAAGTGGCAGGACCGGCTGGGGAAGGAACGCAATATACCCTGTGCAGTCGCGCCTTCCGTTTATGGGCGCAATCGAAAGTATTTTGGATACGCGCGACAAGACGAGAAACCGCGACCGACCCGATCAGCAAAACCGACAAGACCGACACTATCCGACAGGCCGAAGTGCGACGCGCCTGCCATCCAAAACTGCAGCCTCGTGAGCCGCTCCTACAGAGGCAAGACCACTTAGCGCCAAGAATTCGCCGACGGCCATCAACAAACATCACGAACACAACAGCACAACAGCGCCCATGGCCAAGCCGACACGACGCACGGCCACCGCGCCCTCCGACTCCGACTCTGAGTCCGTCATTTTGCCTCCCTCCAATACCAAGACCGAGCTCTACGAGGACGAAGCCGCGTTCTCTCAGGGATATGGCGGGTCCCGTCGCGGAGTCGCGAGTAACGATAAGAGCGATGACTCGGACGATGACGATTCGGACGACGATGCACCACCTGTGCAGAGAATGACGTTCAAGAGCGCCCCGCCAAAGCCAGCAGTGAGCGCCAGCAAGTCCAGTACAAGCAAACCCAGCTCCTCCTCTAGCTCGTCGGACGAGGACAGCGACAGCGACAGCTCGAGCGAAGAGGAGTCTGCCAGCGACGATGACAGTGATAGCGACGACGAAGACGGCGATAAGAGCGCCTCGGAGAAGCCATCAATCTCAAGAAAGAAGGCCAAGGCGACGGGCGCCCCCGCAAAACTAGACACCGGCGACTCCAACGATTCGGACGACGACAGCGACAGCAGCTCGTCTGGCAGCGACTCCGACTCAGAGTCTGACTCCGACTCCGAGCCTAACGACGCTGAGAGCGAGGGCGCCGACGTCCCAATCAGCAAGGTTGACGAGGCTGAGGAGACCAGCAATCCAGAGGATGACGCGGATGGGGCGGAGGACGATGCAGACGATCCGGCTGTTACGGCCTCTGGAGCGGCCGCCAGCGACGAGGTCGAGAGCTCGGATGACGACATTGAGGACATCCCGAGTGTTCTCCCACAAGGCTCGCGCCGGGACGTTGCGGGTGACGCTGAATCCGATGAGGCCGGAGACGAGGAGCCAACAGCAGAACAGCCAAGCGACGAAGTACCACCGATTGCGTCTCACTCAGTACGAACACAGAATCGTGCTGTACGTCAACGATCCAAACGACAAGTTGCCAAGGCGCCTTACGTCTCAGACCTAGACCAGACTGCTGCGCCAGAAGAAACTGTATCCTCGGCCTTGGGCGGCGCTGTGAACAGCGGAGAACCGGCAGCTGAGTCTGCCGAGGTTATAGGACGTCAAAATGTACCAGCAACACCAGACGAACGGCCAGCTACAATATCCCCACGGAAACGGAAACGAGCCGCTGCGGAAGTGGCGGAAGGCGCTGGCGAAGCGAAGCCAGAGACACCCGTCCCACGCAGCGCAAAAAAGCGGGCCGCCGAACGGACACCTGCCTCGCGGGTCTCTGTTGCGGCATCTGCTGGAGGTGGAAGCTCGTCGAAGAAGGGGCCCCAGGGCAACTTTGAGCCACACGAGGTGGAATTGCTGAAAGACGCTGCGGCCAAGTACATGGAGGAGAACCAAATTTCACAAGCAGACTTTAACGAGCTGGTCCACGACAATGCCCAGAAACACTCCGCCCTTTGGGATGCTATGGCCTTCGACTTCCCAAATAAAAAGCGGTTGCAGGTCATTCTGCGGTGTCGTCGTATCTTCCACAACTTCAAGCAACGCTATCACTGGACAGACGACCAAGACGCTGAGCTCGCGGGGCTCGTGGCCAAGCATGGCAACAAATGGTCGGTGATTGGCGCCGCCATGGACCGGTCGAGCGAAGATGTGCGCAAGCGCTGGGACGAACGCGTGGCGTGCGGCGACAATGTGCTCCTGTCATACTGGCGGTTCGAGGAGGAGAAGTGGCTGGGCCAGATCGTCGGCCAGATCCTACGTGAAGTGCAGAGCTCACGCAACCAAGACACGTCAACGCTGCAGCCATCGGCTGTGCGCGATATTCCCTGGCACGTGGTGAGCGAGCGCATGGGTCATACACGGACGGCTCGGCAGTGTCGCATCAAGTGGCGGCAGATCCACGAAGCCTACCACTTCAACGAGGATGGAGAGTTTGTGGGCCCGCCTGCCCCGGTCGAGCTGTCCAACAGCCAGATCAAAGCCCAAAAGATGCACGGCCAGTTCGGTTCAGCGCCAGCGAAAGGCACACCCAAGGATACACCTGCGAAAACCAGCCTGCCGCTGCTCGGCATCACGCCCGACGAGGATGGCCTCACAGTACCCGAAACAGAGCGCCCCATCAATGACCGCACACGGAAACAGGTGCGTTCCATGTCGACCGAGGACAAGCACCAGCTTGTACTCTCAATCCGCGAGTCCAATGTTGGGCGCGAAGACAAGATCCCTTGGACGCGCATCGTCGACGCACCCTACCGGAAAAAATACAACCGAGCAGCGCGTGAGCTGGTGTGGAGCCGGCTGAAGCGGTCCGTCCCGAACTACCATCGCAAGTCTGTGCGCCAGATCTGCGAGGCTCTGATCAAGGAGTACGATGCGAACGCAGCCGTCGGCCAAGCCTGGGATATGAACTACGACGACAATGACGAAGACAACGAAGTCGAAACCAATGCCGGTGCAGAGGGTGAAGAGGCGGCGGCAGATGGCGCTGCCGAAGCAAACGAGGGCAGTGACTCGTCCGCGATTCCTTCTTCGGGCGCGGTTGTACGCGCCATGGCCGCTGCCAAAGGCGGTAAGTCCAAGATTACAAGTGGCACCTATGCCAACCCCGCTGAGTCACAATCGTCCACGGGAGAGGCAGCCGAGGCTCTGGTACAACCACGCTCACGCACACGGAAGGGACGAGCGGTCAAGGCAAACGGCAACGCCGAGAGGCACGTATCTGAGTCGGAGGCAGAGGACGTTCCGGCCGAGCATACGAATGGGACAGGAGGTCGGCGACGAGGCACCAGGCTCCCCAACACCGCTGTAATTAGAGTCAAAAAGGCCGAGAAGCTCGCCGACATCTACGCAGACTTTGAGGGTGCAAGCACACCGTCCAACTCGCAGCCAAACGCACATCCGGAGGATATTGAAGACGTCTACGACGACGGCGGCGGCGGCGAAAATACTGGCCGGCATGCCCGCGCAGCAAGCGTCGACCTTAGCATGGGCGAAAAGCTGACGAGGGCAGACGCCGGGAACGGGGAAGAAGAAGAACAGGAAGGGGACAACGACGGAACCGACGGAGAGATGCCACTGACATTGTCCCTGTCACCGGGTCTGGCACACCACAAGCCGACAGCACGCAGTCGGCCGCTCAACGTTCTGAAACAGCGGCGCAGCGACGCTCCCGAAACCAATGGCACCGCCCAGGCCAGCCGCTTTCTTCCGGCAGATGGCACACCATCGGCGGCCTCCAAACTCACACCACTACGGCCCGGCGAGGTACGGCGCACAAAGAAGCGCTCACTGGCGTCGGCCCAGTGGATCCCGAATCCTGACAGTGATGGCGAGGAAGAGGGCCCCGGTCCCAGCATTGTCGACGACATTGAAGACGTCAGCGACAACGGCCAGACCCGATCCAACGGCGGTGGAAGCCTCACATCGCGCGCCGCCCGTGCCGCGCTGTCTCTGTTGCCACGGTCTTCCAAGCGGGTGCGGCAAGAGTAATGAAGAGCGTGGTGCTGCATGACGTCTGTACATTGATGCGCTCCCTGCTATATCACAGGCGAATTTTCTGTATTTTTTATCTTAATATTAAACATTTTGGACTTATTGGTGGTCGTTTTATCTTTCTCGTTCTAGTATGAGACTAGTCTAAGTGTAAAACGCATCATTCTACAACTTCTCCGTGCATCTTAGACGCCAGCGCTTGTCGGAATTTAGACTGTCTTCTGCGAACAAGGTCGCCTGGCGCGTGTCGCTGCTTGATGTTTGTTCTTTTTCTTTTTCTTTTCTTTTCCTTCTCTGTTGCCAACCGACTGTTCGCGCCTTCCGTCGTGGCGGAACCCTGCATTCGGGCTCCGTCTGTCGTCATTGCTTGTTTCGGTGTCTCATGTTGGGCGCGTCGGAGCCAGTCAGGAACGGGCAGGAACGAAGGACTAAGAACCCTGCGACAACGTCCCTTGGCAAAACAGAGACAGGCGCTTAACCGGTGTTAATACGAGACTTGCTTCGTATTACGGCGAACACAATCAGACATTGTCACGCAAAGTGAGGCCCAAGTCTTTTTTAAAGTGGGAGGAAGGGCAAGGCGCTGATCTTCTTGAAGATTGACATCGATTTCATTTTACTTTCGCCTCCTTCGTTGCACTTTCCCTCCCTTTAGTTGACCGTTATTGCCATTTTGGGCCTATATGTCGATCACTTTAGCCTTGATTTTGGCCATTTGTCGCGCTTCGACCCGTCGTGCTTGCCCCAGTCGAGCCTTGCTTGCACTTGCCTCCATCATTTTTGTTTTGCAGTCAGACGCAGCCAAAATAGGACGAATATAAGCAGGCAGGCGCAGCTCCGGTGAGACGTCCCTGCCAAATTGGGCACCTGCATCTCTTCCAGACTGGAAGACCTGGTCGACTTCTCGTGGCGTCCTCCTTCCTCATTCTTCAAGCTCTCTCTCTTTCCTAATCTTTGTCACGTCGCTGCATCTGGACGACTCTTACGAGTCCCAACATCTCCAGACGACATCTTATTCTACCTCTCGAAAATATTCCTAACCTTACGCGACGATGGCGGCCGACTGTTCGGTTGTGCCGACGAGCACGCCCAGTAATTCAGGCATTGCTGGTGCTGGAGTACGGTTCGCCCCTCGCTTCGAGTGAAATCGTCGACTTCTGTTTTTTTTTTTCGTTTTCTTATCCATAACGCCTCTGCTAATATATTAGGTGCTCCTTTCTTTCATTATCACGGCCGCCGTTGCTTTGAGCATCAGTGCCGTTCTCGTTTTCTCAGACACCTGGGGCCGTGCCGCCCGGCAGCGCAAGGCCAGCGGCTCCTCGTCCGCGTCCACCTCGTCATTTGCCATCATCGGCCGCAAGCTGCTGAACAGCTACTCGGATCAGCAGATTGTGACGGGCATTGGCATCCAGAGCCTCGGTCTTTCTCAGATCAGCTCGCTCGTGCCCTATCACTTCTTTTTGATCTGGATGCTGGGCCTGCTATCGACGGCCGTCCACAACGCCGCCCTGCTCGCCCTCGTCCACGATTTCCGCCGCGACTGGGTCCTACGGTGGCTCCGCCAGGCCCTCATGTTCGTCAACCTCGCCCTCAGCTGCATCTACGGCATCTTTGTGTTGCGCGAGCTCGCCGCCGGTCTGCCGCAGACGCTGCCAATGGTGTGTGCGTTGGAGTCGGGCGTGCCCAAAAATACGACCATTGCCACAGGAGACGGCAAGGGCGACACGACGGCCGCGTGGTCGGGCAGCGCCGGTGCATTCCAGTTTATAGCCACTGTGGCCGTGGTTGCCGGCAACTGCGTCGTCTTCATCCTGTCCACGTGGTATTTGCACAGCCGCGCGCAGCGCTTTTACCGTATCGTGCAGCTTGTGGGTCTCGCACTCATGGCTGCTGTCGCAATTGGCGTCGCCGTCCGCATCGTCCTGCTGTCGCAGGCCTTTGGCCACCCGTCCGTATCGCTGTCCGACGTCGGCGAGACCCAGTGGAGCTTTGGCCAGCTACTGTCGCTGCTGATGCTTCTGTTGCCTCTCATCTCGGTGGTCGAGATTGCACGTGGCGAGATCAAGGTGGCGCCGCCCGTGCAGGACGACGGCAGCGGCCACGGCGGGTCGGGCGATACGGTGCCGCTGGTCGAGCACCAGCTGCCCATGGGCAAGGCCGGGCACACGTCATTTCAGCCCACGCCCTTTTTCTCGTCATCGTCACGGAGGACGAACAGCGGTCGATAAGTGCAAGGAAAACAAGGATGGAAGGAGACGACTGACGACATGTAATGAAGACTGGCACGAAAGCTCCATGTGCCTTGTTGGATATAAAAGCAATGCCTTCAGCATTTGCATTGACTTTGTAGCTCTTAGCTTGTATATTATTTCGCCGCACAGCGCGCAGGATAGCGAAAGAAACAAGACACGAATGAAAGAAACCAGCGATCCTAATGAATGCCTCTTCTAAGTGGACAAGACGACAATCTTGAAACGAATTGCGATAAAGCCCAAGTATTCCCCTTAATCCTAGGGCAACACTGCATTTACATCCTGCAGACCTTACTGTAGGCCCTTCCCAAGCGCATTTTCTGGACGCTGGCACGGGCTCTAGTGGGGGTCCAGGGTCGGCCGGGATAGGCTAATCAGCTGTGAGCTAGACCCGAAGCTGCTGTAGCGGACTTTCTACGTCATGCCTTCCTTGTTGGATTCTCTTTTGTGTTCCTTCTTTCATTGCCCATGTGCTCCTTCCCTTCCACTCGACCTTTCGCCGGCGAGTCCAGACCAGGCCCAAAGCAGCAGGCACGCCACTTTCGATTTAGGGAGAAAGAGCAACTGCGAAGGCTTCTTCGCAAAGGATCAAAGGAAAGAGCTATCGCTCGAGACAAGGTTGGCCAAGACGCCCCCTCCCTTTCTTTTCACACATCCGTCAACAATCACTCTATTCAATTGTCAAGGATTCCGAGAGGCTTCATCAAACACACAACGAAAACCCACTGCTGCTCGCAATCCAGCGCGTTCACCATCACACCGAGTACTTCCGTGCTCGCACGGGCGGCGCGACAAAGATTCCACGCATGCACTGAAGACGTTTTTGGTAACGCTTCCGAATAGCACCCAAAGGCAAACTGGCATCGAACGACCAACGGCAAACGACAAAGGACAAACGCAAACGGCAGCGCGGTTTGCCGTGATCATCTTTCTAGTCATTTGTCCTTTGCAACATCCTGGCTCGGTTGATTGCAGGTCTAGTAGCAGCTCGTCAAGTCGCGAGCAGAACGACCCCAAGATCCAACATCTCCTACATTTCATCCACAAGCAACCACAATCGACAATGTCAGCCTCCCAGCCTCTCCAGGTCACGCAGCCGACCTTTATCAATCTTCCACAGCCACCTTCGAACCCAGATACGCCGTCAGAGACTCCGTACGTTATATCGATGTGAGATCGGAGGGCTCGCAACAGAATGCTAACTGTGTTTCCAGAGGTACCCCAACAAGCACCACGACTTCTCTCTCCGCCGTGTCAACGACAGCAATCAAGGACGGCCACCGCGGCGGCCATATCCCTCCACTTCTCCTCAGCGGAGGCGCCGTAACCGGCAGCACCAGCAGCACCGGCAGCGGCCAGCGCGTCGGCCACCAACACAATGCATCGACCAACAGCCTCGAGGCCGAGCGCGCCGATCGCATCTCCCGCCTCGCCGGCCTCTCTGGCATGACCACCCTGCGACCCTCCTATGCGCCCAATCGAGGCAGCGTTACAAGCGGCGGCGGTGGAGGCGCTGGTAACCGCTTCAGCAGTGGGGTTTCCTCCACTCAAACAACTCCGACTTCGTCGGGCGCCGGTGGCGGTGGTGGCGCTTTTATGTCGAGCGGCATGGCTGTCCCAGGTCCTCTGACACCCGCCTTTTTTGATGCCCAGGGCCAGCCTGTCGCCATCACCAAAATGAGCACGGTGGGCACCGCCAGCGCGACGAACAGCGTCAGCGGCCGCACGCTCGGCGACGGCGACACGGTCGACGGTTCGACCATGACCGAGGACGACGACATGGATGACGACGACATCCGTAGCATGGGCACCAACTACCATTACAGCGGCAGCACAGGCCACGGTGCTGTCGGCGACACTATGATGATGCTGGACGACGACAACCTCGATACGGCCAGCCGCTCAGCCGGCGGTTATGGCTATGAATTCGACCGCATGAGCGACGACGGCACTGCCAGCCTTGTCGGGTTTGGAGAGGGCGCCGGCAGCACCGTGTCGGGCCCCATCTACCACCGCCGCCCGTTGCCGCCGACCACATCATCGGCCGGCGCCATGGCTGCCAACAACGCCATGACCTGGGCCACGACGCTCGAGCGCACTAACTCGGGCCTCAGTGATGTGGCTGTTATGGGAAGCACCAGCGGCGCCAGCACCACAGCCGGCACACCGGTTACGTCGCTACCTTCGCTCGGGGCAGGGTTGGGGAGCGGCGGTAGTGGTGGCGGCAACGGCGTGAGCATGCGCCGCGAGTTCGTCCGCTCGCCACTCGAGCATTTCCGTGACATGAGTGGTGGTGGCAGCAGCAGCAATCTGAGCAACAACAGCGACAGCGGAAACGCGGTGCTTTCTTCACGCGATGCGCGTCTCATTGACGGCATGGCCTTGACGGCTGCCGATGACGACGTGTTTGTCGATACTACCGGTCGCGGGCCGGTCCCTGTGGGTGGCAGTCCCGCTAACGCAGCCATGTCAAATTCGGCGGCGGCTGCTGCTGCTGCATCCGCTCCCCCACCGTTGATGGGCTCGATCATCCAGGCGCACCCTAGTGCCTTGCGCGAGACACAACGGCCGCGGTCTCATCAGCAGCAGCAACAGAACCAGTACCACAATCACAACCACAATCGCAACCACGGCCAGAACCAAAGCCTATTATATGGCGGCGGCATGTCCCGCGAGCACGAAGCCACCGAACAGCCCTTACAAAGTGTGCAGAACGCTGCTCATGAGTTCGACGACCAGCAAGCAGGCAGCAGTGGAGGCGGTCCCCTCGGTAGCTTCGATTTTGAAGAGCGCCGGTAGTTCAAAAGGAGAGATTGTGCTCGGTTCGTTTCATTTGATTTCTCTTGCTTTTTTTTCCCTCTTCTTCACAATGAAGCTAGTATCTTTTGGACGCTTTGCGTTCTCTGGGGGTCCTTTTTTGAATTTTTATTTTGGCCAATGGTCTGGGAAACTTATTTTGAGCCAATTGTTTTTATTGGACCTTTGAGACGTCTTTTCTGTTTTCTTTCTTTTTGCTTCTTAATACCTGGGTTTGTTTCTTGGGGTTTACCTCTTGTGTTGGCGTTTGTTTTGAGATTTGGGTTGGTATTCTGCCTCGGCCTGCGATACCTCGATATGTTCTCCACGAGAGACTTTTTTTGGCTCGGAATTTGGCACCTCTCTTTTGTTGCTTGCTTTTTTGTTTTCAATTCGCCTTTAACGGCCTTTGTTTTTAACTACCGTATTTTTTGAACTCCCATCTTTTTGCCAAACATTGATATGAACAAGCCTGGACGCTCTTCGTTAATTTACGTTGCATTTTGATCTTGCCGGTCGCCGTCAGCGCATCGAATCCTCCCCAAGACGAAAGAGCCAAAACTCTGGAGCCCAAACCCCTGGAACCCTTTAATTCATCGTTGTCATACTACTGCGGCAAACACAGCACAAAAGCACCCCTTTATGTTTCGGTCGGGGCTGGGCTGTTTTTTCATGCAGGCTGACCCCTCTGTGGGTAATCTTCCTTTAGAAAGTTTCGTTGCAGCTTACACTGCCACAATCCACCGAGGGAGGCTACCAAAACGACAATACCCATCGATCCGGCGAACGACGAGCCGGGAAAGATATAAACACTGCAAGAGACTGTCAATGTCCAACAGCTTGCTATCCGAGACAAAGAAGACAAACGAAAGAAGTCAAGGTACAAGACTTGTGAACAACATGGTCTTCACACACCAGCCTTTGGATGTTGCACGGAACGAGTTCCGCTTGCTGCGGCTGCACCCGGCGGCGTCGTTTGATGCGCCACTTCGGGTTGGCCTCTTCCACGCCAGCCTTGACGCCGCACCTGAGTATGAGGCTTTGTCATACGTCTGGGGCAAGCCCTGGGGTGACTTCTCTGTGCTGGTGACGGACGCTCGCGAGGCCGCTGACGACGACGACGACGACACGGAGCTATCATCGCTCCCAATCACGCCCTACCTCGATACGGCGCTCCGGCAAGTGCGTTTTCGCGGCCAGGCCCGCATTCTTTGGGTCGACGCTCTGTGCATCAACCAACAAGACCTGGCCGAGCGCAGTCACCAGGTACAGCAGATGCGCCGCATCTACGAGTCGTGCGTGGCCGACGTGGCGTACCTCGGACCCCACCCGCCGCCGCCGCTCACCGACAAGGATGTAGAAGACGTCGACAGCGACAACGACGAGGCCCGGGCGGCACAAGAGGTGGGTGCCGTGGCGGGTGAGACGGACGAGCAAGCCACGGCGCGTACGCTGGCGGCCAAGCGAGCCTGGAAACGAAGCAAGGCCGAGCAATGGCGCGTCGGGAGCAGCAGCAGACGCGCACAGAATTTGCGCGACGGACTGGCACTGATGCGACAGATTGCCGACCGCGACGCCGCAGCTCTGACGGTCATGGTGCAGAGGTGGAAAGACAACGGGGGCTTTTTGTTTACGGACGACGCCGAGGAGGCGGCGGATGGGGACAAGGCCAAGCGGGTCGAAGACGAGTACGACCCGGAGGATTCGCGCCAGAAACGGTACCTGGACTACAAGCAGATCCGCAGCCTGTACGCGACGTTTTCGAACGCGGAGCTGTGGTCGCGCGTGTGGATTGTGCAGGAGCTGTCGTGCGCGCCGCGTGTGCTCTTGGCTGTGGGCAAGCACCATGCGTATGGGGGTGGCCAAGACGAGGACGGCACGGGCGCTGCTGTGGACGTGCCAACAGACGCCGGCACAGAGGACGATGGTGGCGCAAAGGCCGACATGCTCGACACGCTCGACTGGGACCGGGACATTGTGGGCGGGTTCCTCGACGATTTCGCCTACGTAGATGCCTTCCACTCGTCGTGGAGCCACGGCACGGTTGGCCCTGCAGCGCACAGAATCTTTTCGCGTGTACGGTCGATCCATCTCCAGCGGCAGGTCATCCGCAAACGGAGGACGCAGGATGACGGCAAGGGCTTTCTGCGGCGGTCGACTCGGGGCGTGTTCTTCCAAGAAGAGGAGGAGCTCGAGCGGGAGCTGCTGAAGTCGACTGTGGACGAGAGCAGCGTCGAGGGCACGATGGAGGCGAAGGAGGCGAAGGTGTCGACGGTTGCCAACGAGGCGCCGTCTGATCCGAGCCTCATCAACGTGCTCGCCCGCTTCAAGTGGACACAGGCAACCGATGCGCGCGACAAGGTGTACGGGCTGCTCGGTCTGGTCGCGGAAGCGCCGCGGCTCCCGCCCGTCAACTACCGGCAGCCAGTGGCTAGGGTCTACAGCGATGCGGCCCAGGCCATCATCGAGACCAGCGGCACGCTGGACGTCATTAGCCAGAATCCTTTTGATGGCGACGACGTTGACGATGACAACGAGACTGGTGCCAAAGGACGTGCACCCGGCTTGCCTTCGTGGGCGCCGAATTTCGACCGCAGTTTCTACACGGACTTTTACGACGAGTTTGCGACGATCCTGTTTGCACAGCGCGGGATTTATGCGGCGGGGAAGCCGGACTGCAAGCACCTGCTGCCGCTCCAGGTGGAGCAGGGCTCGTTTGGTGGCGTGGCGGGCGAGGGGGGCGACGCCGACGAGCAGGCGCCGTTTACGTTTCGCAGTCTCCGTCTGCGTGGCACCTTGCTTGGCCGCGTGGCGCCGCTCAAGCAGGGGCCTTGGGAGGAGAACGGCAAAGGCAGCGTCAATTTCGAGACTGGCGTTGCGCTGTTTTCCCATTACAAGAAATTCTACTACGACACAATAGAAGGCGTCGAAGGAGTCGAAGGAGTCGAAGGAGTCGAAGGGGACGAAGGGGACGAAGAGGGCAAACTCAGCAGACGCAGAACAGTGTATGCCGCCACGGGCGAACCGTTTTGGGACGCCTTTTGGCGCACCATCAGCGGCGACTGCACGGCCTACCCGATCCGCCGACTGACGGCGGAGGAGCGCGCGCAGTGCAGCAGCGGGCTGGCGGAGGTGTGCCGACTGCATGAGGCCGAGCTGGAGAAGGAACGGGACGAGACAAAGGGCTTTACGACCGATGAGGAGTGGGAGAAACACCGCATAAACAAGATGTACAACGGCGATCAGCCGTCGACGGCGCTCGTTGAAACGCTGCCGGTAACGCGGATGCTGCGGCGCATGGTGCGGCGGTGGGGCATGGCGCACACCGTGCAGGATGACCGTCTGCCGAGCGGTGGCGGGCTGCTGCTGATGGTGCGAGCCGTTGCGGCGCCTGGCGACGTGGTGGCGGTCCTGGACGGATCCAAGGTGCCGGTGGTGCTGCGGGCGCAGGACGCAGGGGCGCTCTCGACAGGGGCAGGCCATGGAGACGACGGCACGACGGCCTGCTACAAGTACGTGTGTCCGGCGTATGTGCACGGCTACATGGACGGCGAGGCGGTGGCACAGGTGGCCGATGGGCGGTTGACCGAGCAGGACATTGTGCTGGTGTAGTCGATGGATCGGCAAGGCTTCTTGCTGATGGTCTCTTTGTGTTTTCGTGGAGGTTCATGGATTCTGTCCATCATCACATGGCTTTCATAGCACAACATCGTTTCATCGTCTGTTTTTCTGATCCTGTCTATTGTGCTATGCTAAGGTGCAGCATGACGACATGACACGACATGACACAAACGAGTCAACCTTGTTTACAGGAATTTGTTGACCTCGTCGTTGACGACGTTGTTGATCTCGGGGTCCAGGGCGGCAGAAACACCCTCGCGCGAAGCCAGGCCGTCGACGGCTGAGACAGTGCAAAGTCAGTTCAACAGATCCCCCAAACGCCCACGAGACGAAACACGCATCAACCGTTCTTGGTGGACCGACTTACCGCTGTCGAGGACGGTGTCGATGCCGGAGTCGGACTTGTTCTGGGTCTGCTGCTGGGCAGAGCTGGTGCGGTCAGCAAGACTGTGGATGCTGTCCTCCAAAAAGACTGGTACGTACGTCTGTCCGTCAACGGCGTTCTCGACTTCCTTGATCTCGTCGCCGAAACCCATTGTGACTGATTGTGAAGTAGTGGTTGTGAGTTGTGAAGGGATATGGATGTACGGATACGCAATGTGATGTTGGATAAAGAAAGGCAAAAGAAAGCAATAGAGAGAAGAAGAGGGAAAACAAAAAAAGAAAAAGGCAAAGGAAGATAGATCGAGATTCAGCCGCAGTATTTATACACAAGACACCCTCATCTGGCGTCACCCCCCCCCCCCCCCCTTCCTTCATATCGACGACACAGCACTACGTCGTACGCATGGAGCACGCCCTCCTTGCCTTTTCAGCTTGCTCCTTGGATAGCTGTTCTTCCTAACAAAAACCAGGGAATGGAGAAAATAAGAGGACGTGGAGCGGGTTGCTAAGAGGATAGATCGTCTATCATGCTTGCTGCACGTCGTAGCGTCCCCTCTTCTCCCTCTTGTCCCTCTTTCCCCCTTTCAGCTGCACGAACTTGGCCAGCGGCGCCCCACGCCATCTGTCTTGCCCCGTCGGTTCAAGGATGGCCCTCGATCGATGGTGCGATGGCATGATAAGAGCAGCAAAGCGCCGTCAGCTCGGGTGGGCTGCTGACTTGGCCTGTCCCCACCTCGAGCAGTGAACAGCAAACACAGATTGCTTGCAGCCATGCATGGCCGCCAAGGATTGGTTCGACGTCGTCTTGCTTTCCCAGTCGTTTCGGCATGTGCTGCTGCGGTTTTCTGGCTATTTCTACGGCAGGCTTAGAAGGGGAAAATGGCGCAGAACTAGCCCAGCCCGGCTTTGACGATAAGACGATCGAGGGGTAGGAGGTAGAGAGAGGGGGGGACCAGGAGAACAGGGGTAAAGAAGAGCAACGAAGCCGTAACGTGAAGCTCGTTTTTTTCCTCTTTTCTCTCTCCAAGGAGAGGGCCAGAAAAGTGACTCTTTTCAACGCACCACAGCAAACCGCCTGTCTTGGTTGTCGTTTCCATCCCCGACTGGTACAGACAAGACGCAAAGTAGATGCATTGCATCTCCCACACGGTCAGACAGCGATGTAGATGATCTTCAGAGTTCCACAGTTGCCAAGAACACGAGGCTCTCGGGAAACGGAAAGAAAAGGCTTGGCTTTTTACTGTGACATTCTCCAGAGGCCAAGACGTACCACAGGCGGGGTCCACAGAAGGAGCAACCGGCCAGTAGTTGCTATTTTACAAGACGCTTAATACGAATATGTACAGAAGCTGCGAATGGCAGTCTCCTACGAACTGAGCGGCAGGACCCCTCTTTCCCTGCAGGCACAAATGATCGTACATCACGTGTTTGCTCCTTTCATGAATGTGCCTCATACAGAGAGACGGGTCCTTTCGATATAAACGCCCATTGTGACGTGCTGTGAGCCGCACCTCTCTCTCGACGACAATGGCTCGGTGTCTGATGACTTGGCGCACAGGACAGCTACATGAGAGGCAAATGTTCAAGTTACAAGACGCTGAGCATGTCAAACGGCGAAGAGCAACTTATTTGACCGTTTAATTTAATCGTCTGCGTTCTTTTATGTGACATCTCCCCTGCGACCTGTCCTCTTCCACCTCATCTATGGCAGCGGCTCGTTCACCCACTCGCTCGTCAGCCTAACGCCGCTCAGGCGGAACAGAGCCGTGATGGGGCAGCGGCGCTCGACCTCGCTGACAAAGTGCTGGAACTTGGGGCTGTCGCTGCCGCCGTCAATGTCCGTCTGCACAGCGACTTTGAGGACCACGCTCTCCCAGTTCGGGTTGCCCTCCGGCGCGCCCTGCACGAGCACGGCCGTCGGCAGCGCGCCCTCCACATCCACCTTCCAGCGGCCCAGGCGCACGCCGTGGTCACGGCCCACAATGCTGCCCGTCACTTGGTTGCAAGAGCCGAGGCTGGCCAGCGAGTAGACCACGGGCGACGGCGCCGAATCGCCGCCGCCGAGTGCCGTGTATGTGTCGGACGAGAACGTGTAGGCCTTGTCGGGCACCGACAGCGACTGCTGGGTGCCGGAGCCCTCGCCGTGGACGCGCACAGGCAAGATCTGGTCCGCGGCGCGGGCAGTTGCTGAAAAGGCGGCACGGGAGGTCATGCGGGGAGCGGCCGCAGCCGACAGACCACGCCGCAGGGTCGATGAGAACAGAGTACGGGACATTGTGCCGTAATAAATGTGAGCGAGTCCGCGTGTACGGTGGTCTAAGTGGTGTAGCGGTGTAGCGGTGCTGCCGTACAGAGTACTTACGACATATACAGAGACTCCATTCGCAGTTGAAGGCAATGCGCCGTTTATATAGCAAGACTCGTCGGTTGCACGACATCGAAACTGGAGAAAGTCGCCATCAGGCGCAAGAGACCAAACCAGTGAAGATCTTCTTTCGTCTGGTTCTCTTCGCCAGATCTTTCTCGATTCATCCTGGCGCCGACTCGCATGCATAACCTGTAAATGTCGACTTTTCGACGGTAACTGTGCCAATTCGTTCGGCGACATGTTTCGTAGAGTAAAGAGTATGGTTTCATTGCATTCGCCAAGTCCCGCCAAGTTGAGCCAAAGTCCGCCATTTTAGCCCAAATAACGCCATATGACAGCGAACACCGCGCCCAGCTGGATGCGCCGCCAAGAGTATTCCGTAGGGACATGCTGAAATGGGGGAATAAAAGAAATACAACAAAATAAAGCAAATGAAAAGGCTCACAATGAGCACATGTAAAATGGAAAAATAAAAGTAAAACCCTCATGTGCGATCCTTGTTCAAGCCGACGGCCCAAGTCCACAGCGGCGCGGGAGTGCCTTCGCTTCCCGTCATGTGCCCGTCTCCTCTACACAAAAGCTTCAAAGGGCGTCCCGAGCACACGGCCGCGGTCGTCAAACCGCACGCCCTCTTTCCGGAGCAGGGTCCGCTTCTCGGTCAGCGTAATGCCCTCGTGGCCCATCACCACCACCGGCCGCCCCGTCTTCTTGTCCACCTTGGTTGTGGACACCGTCTTCTTCGGCGGGCCCACGCCCTTGAACCCGCCCAGGCCACCGCCCGTGGCGACACATCGGTGGCACGGCACGTCGGGCGCAAACGGGTTGCGCCGCAGGGCGTTGCCAACGGCGCGGGGGGACGAGCGCAGGTGGGCGGCCATGAGGGCGTAGGTCGTGACATGGCCCGCCGGGATCTGGCAGAGCAGCGACCAGACGCTCTTTTCAAACGGGGTGCGCTGGGACGCCGCGATGCGCCGAAGCTGGTTGTCCATGTGGGAGAGGGCGGGCGACGGTTGAAAAGAGATGTCGGTGGGGGGCGTGCCCGAAGCGGAGCTCGCCTTGGCCGTCGTCGCCACCTTGGAGGCGGTTGCGGTCTTGGTGCGCGGGGCCATAATGCCAGAAGTACGTAGTACTATTGGGATGGGCAAATAGGTAGAGATCTGGTGATGGATGGCCGTCGTAATTTGGTGTGGTGATGCAAGATGCGACGAGGAGGATGTTGGTGGGTGCGAGATGAAAATAGGTGACGAGGGGGTAAGCAAGTTCGCGTCAGGTCTGCGCGTCTAAATACTCGACTTCAACGGTGTCGCCCACCCATTCATTGCAGGCAGAGTCATTGCTTTCGAGGTCGCCTGTTTTGGTTTTGCTCTGGATGAGTGTTTGTCGTTGTGCAAAGTGAAGGCGCACGGGGCTCTTGCTGCCTATGTGGCGAATCACAGCGCCGGGATGTGCGGAGCCGGGAGCAAGCGGGGATGCCTTGGTCGCGCCTGCTGTCCAGCCCTTCGGTATGGCGGCACCAACGAGACGCGTGTCCACGTGACCACTTACAAGAAAGCAGGCCTTGCCGTCGACCTCGTCTTGACTCACACATGCTTGCTTTCAAATGGTTCGACGGTGTGGCTGTCCAGCCAGGTTCTATCCTTTCCTTGACATTTGTTTTTCGTACCAATATTTGGTAACTTGTCTCTATGTCCAGCAGAGCATGTTTGTTGTCCATGCAGTGCTTGCTTGAACGGCAAGTTTACGCCACAAAAGTACAGGTAGAGCTTAACAAAGTGAGAAAACGCAAAGATGCCGACCAGGACGTTTTCCTAGACGCGCCATTCATGATGCAATATGGCATTGCGGGTCGTATGGGCGAGACACCCCGCCAGCCTGTCAGGCCTACGCTGAGCTGAAAAGAAAAAAGTACACAGAAAAGAACGGCAACTGTATGTAAGAGCGAACAAAGCAAGAGAGAAAGCGGTGAGACCCATATGACAAGCTGCATCCGGCGGTGAAGTAGAAAAGAGGGTGTCGCAAGTTTTGGTATCAGTGGCCAAACCGGCAGAAGTGCAATTGACGGCAGAATGCAAGACGGATGGTGGGATCAACATGTAGTTTATTTCAAGCACGTGTTCTTTCTGCGCCCAGATGTCGGTCTCTTGTCCTTTTGTCCCCTTATCTCCTCTTCCATCCAACTTCCATCCAACCAAGGCAAACAGCACAATGGCGAAAACGAGGCTGTCCATCCTGTGCCCACCATCCAATCAACGACGAGGAGGTGCCAAATCGTGTCCCCTCGGGCACTGTCCAGCCTTGTGCAAATCCGACGAAGCACGGGAAAACCATGGAAAAAACACGCTGTTCCTCACACAAAGTCCACTAGACATGAAAAACACAAAGAAATGTGTGCCACACAGCCACAAAATGAGGGTGTCGTCAATTATGGTGTACGCCGTATGGTGCCCGGCATCAAAGATCAAGCACCACCGTACATGAGGCTCTCGGCCCGTCTGCTTGCCATTCTCATGTCTGACCGCCGCATCTTCGCGCCGTCGCATACCTGAAAGTACCAAATCAGGATCCCCAATAGCGAGCCTCGCCAGCTTCCCCCTTGTGCTCTGTTAAAGGCGGCCCTGTCAGTCGCGGCGTCTTTCCCTGTTGAGCTGTTCGTCCGTAATCATAAGAGAGTGTATGAAATCAACGTCTATTTATATGTGAGCCGATTCCTGTTGGCCGTTTCATAACGACTTTGGTTTATTTGTTCTCTCCTCGTTCTCGCATTCACTGCATCTCAATTCAGGTTATTTTCTTAAACAACATTGCATACGCCACACAGGTCAAATCCACCCGGAAGCCTCTACGACTCGTTCTATCTTCTCGCAATGAATGTTACCTCTTACGACACGACTCGCGCTCGAGCCAACGAAGATGGCGGCCGGGCCAGTCGAGTTGGCGTACGCCCGCCAGGGGCCAATGACAGCAACCAACACGACTACCACGGGACGAAACAACGCACCAGCCAGGGCTTCTCCTCCTCCAACCGGCAAGAATGCAAGGACAAGGACTGCAGGAAGCCCGTCGCCTGGCGCAACGTCGACAGCATTGGCGGCATCGCCCCCGACATCAGCGGCCACAACGCCAGCAGCCACAACAGCAGCAACATGGGTTCTACCATCGTCCCGTTACACGCCAACCAAGAGGCGCGGGAGGTCCAGATGAAGCTGTACGACATTTTGTCGGCGACGGGCTTACCACAGGCCGACCTTCCCGTCCTCGGCAACAGGCCACTCGCGTTTGCAACGCTTCAGCCCGGCCCGGCCTCGTCTTCCACGCCGCAGCAGTCGCCGCTGCAGGGCAGTGTTGCTTGGATGTGTGCACAGTTCAACGCAGAGCGCGATCGTCGGGAGTGGTACTACCGCCAGCGCAGGTCGCACCTGCCTCGCATTGTTTCCGACTTTTGCGAAGACCGTTCGTTCTTGCCTTTTCTTTTGTTTGCGCTGGGTCGCCCCTTCTTCAACCATCCGTCGTTCGTGCTGACACCGCAGACACCTGTCGCTACTTCTTTACAACGGAGTTTTGCTCCACCAAGAAGCCAAGGCACGACGCCATGTGCAATACACGTCTGTTTTGTCCTTTCGCAGTCTCTTCTGTTCTCCACATACCACAAACCACAACGCCACCACTCTGCTAACCGTCTCTCTAGATGCCTTCTGTCCGGCGTTTCGCTGTCACGAAGTCAAAGGACAGGTCGCCGACCTGTCGCATTCCGAGGGGAACGTCAGCAAGTTCCTGCGGCACGAGTTCTGCCCAAAGCGTGTGTTTGGTCCTTTTGGCTCTCCCGTCTGTTTATCTGCGTCTGTGCTCTGTGCTTTCTTTTTCTGACCATCATATCAGACAAATGCGAAGTCGACAAATGCGAGCTTCTCTGTGACGAGACCAAGCCCAACACTCTCGGAAAATTCTGCCCAAGGCGTATGTTACATCAACAGAACGGCACAAAGATCATAGCAAGGCGACAAAGAACCTCATTCAACGTCATTGCTAACGGAAATCCAGACAAATGCTACTACACAGGTTGCGTGAAGCAGGCCCTGGATGGTCGTGGATACTGTGGTGAACGTATGTCTTCATTTCGCCTCTGCCAAACCTCACGTCCAAATGCGGAGCTAACACACATGCAGATGGATGTCGGTCGACCAATTGCCAAAAGATCGCCGTCGTCGGCTACATGCTCTGCAAAAAACGTACGCCCATTCGATAAGAAAGTTGTCGTTGCTCGTCTTTTTCTTTCCTCTAACATGAACAGACCTCGAATGCGCTGAACGTTCCTGCGTGCGTCCTCGCTTTCTCGTGCCCACAGACCGCGTCCTCGACCCCAAGGATGTTGCCGAGTGCTCGATTGAGCGCTACGACCGCGACCACTACCTGACATACTACCTGGCCTACTGCAAAGATCGTACGTTCTGTTTGTCCTCGTTTCACTCATTCTAATAAACGCCCCTAGCATTCACTCTCTGACCAACTCAGACGGCATCTGCGCCGACAAATCGTGCTCAAGCTTCCGCATCAGCTCCAGTGTGCACTGCCGCAAGCATGCCTGTCTTGAGCATGGCTGCCGCAAACCCTGTCGCACTGGCCTCAAATACTGTGAAGCTCGTATGTCCACTTTGTGCCAGTTCCCACAACTGCCTTTACTTCGGTAGTACGTTACTGACTCGTTGCTTCACATTCAAAAAGACGGATGCAGGATGAAATCGTGTTTGGGCCCCAAGGGCTGGAAGCAAGATGTAAAAACCCGCGAGGATTACTGCTTCAACCGTGCGCCAACACCCAACCCCGTTTCGCTACCATTCTCTCCGACTAACATGAATGTACATAGACCTCTGTCGAGAAATCAATTGCTCGGAACCTGTGCCTGACTTGCACCTATACTGTGGATTTCGTAAGTCGACAGACCCTTTTAATACTTGGTTAACTTCAACATGCCACTCATACTATCTTTACCGCAGACGAATGCGAAATCGAGACGTGTGTTGCCAAGGTCGCCGAAGATGGCGGCTGCATTCAGCGTACGTTCGTTCCAAGTATTCCAAATACTAGCTCTCGTACTGCCCTCATGCTCACATTCCCAAGACTTCAAAGACAAGCACAAAAGGCAAACCAAGGCGGCCGTTCGGCGGGACACCGAAGACACAAAGATCGCCGTCCAGCGTGAGACCCAACAGTGGGCCAGCACGTTTGGTGTGTCTGTTGGTGTCGGATCCGGTGCTGGGAACCTCTACGCTGACCAGCCGACCCGTCGCCCGCTACGATATTTTCCCACATCCAACTTTTCCATGAGCAACCGGTCTGCCGGATCGCGCCTAGGCGGGTCGCCGCCGCACCGATGGCACGGCGACCATGACTTTGATGATGGTTGGGGGGATGAGCAAGATTATGATGGAGACCGTTTTCGCCCCGAAGGCCGTCGCCGCCTTAACGAAGGCTCCAAAGGCAACTTCCGCATGCACACACCCTCGTCCTCGGATGCCGGGCGCTCTCGGTACCACGACAACAACGACCTTGACGACAATAGCCCCAGCAGCCAAGGGATGCCAAAGCAGTTGCCACCTACAATGACATCAGCCACAGGTCATCCCGGGCCTCAAAATAGACCCATGCAACAGCAGAGACAACAACATCAACAGCAACCGTCGATGCCCGGGATCGTCAGATCAACGCCACAGAATCAAAATGCGGCCAGGCCACCCACCGGGACTAGCGGAAACAACCCTGCCAACGCAGGAAATACCAACACAAGTAACAATGGGCAAAGTCAGAATTTTGTCCTTGTAAGTAGAGGATCACAGCCTGGTAATTCGGGCAACGAGCCCATCATACATCAACGACGTGCGTCGTATGACGACGAAGACAGTGGTGACGGATACGGCTCTCCAAGGTGAACGAGACGGAGAAAGCAAGGGAGACATAGTAACGAAAATGTTTGACAAAACTTGTACTTCCTCTATTGGTCACTTGTTTCTCGATGCTTTCGTTTTGTTTTCTTCTTATTTTGGGGGGGGGGGGGGGTGTTGTTATTTTATTTCGCATCTGTCAACTAATCTCGCCTCGTGTCGCCGTTGTCAGCATGTTAGTCAATTGGCCAGACTTGTTCCACTCTTGTTTTAGTGTGTTCTGCCCCGAATTCAAGAAAAATAATGTTGGTAAATATATCGGGAGGAAAAGTATATTCATTGCTGAGTGTGTCTGTTTATTTTTGCTTGCTTATTATTATTATTATTATCCGCCTTCCTCAGCCAGTCCTGGCTATTGGCGACTAGCTAGACAGAACCCTCATGGGGAAAAAACTGTCACAGATCTGAGTGGGTGGTGTTTCTATGGTACAGGTGCATGTAGTGGCCCGAGTGGTCACTTTTAACAAGTAGACAAATAAAATAAAACAAATAAAAACAAAACAAATAAAACAATGGAACAATGTGCAGATTTTGCTTGCTTTATTACATGTTTTTTTTTTCCTATTTACGAAATTGAAATATTTTTAATAATAAAAAAAAAAATTGCCAGTCGCACGTAATCAAACCAAATCCTTGATTGTCAATAAGAAACCAGTGTTGTAGCTTTCGATATATTTCCAATTTACATGGTGATACTCGAAAGATTTAGTTTTTAAGGTGGTCGCTCCTTCCTTTTGCGTCCACTCAAGAGCCAACCAGTCCAAATTTCGTTTACCTTCCCAAACAAGGAAAAAAAAACCTTGTCCAACATTTATCGTGTCCTCCGATCCTTCCCGTCCGAGACTCGCCAGCTCTTTCCGTGTTTTTGCACATTAAACGTCGCTCAGGGGTTTCATGAGACGACCGATAACAATAACTCCATTCTCACACTTTCACAGTTGCAACTTTCGCTTCCACTTCCACCCCCACTCCCGCTTCCGTCATCTCTCAGCCTCTACCCGCCCGCTGTCCTGACCGTTCCATACAGATTCGAAGAGGTACCTTACGGGACGACGGACCCGTACCTTACGTACTTTGTTCTGTCAAATGCCACTTGCAGTCGGAAATGCATGATCCAGACAGATCCATCAATACGAACACAACAAGGAGACACAACCATTGGGGCCCGCTAGAGACGGGCGGTAGTGAAGCGAGACATCGAACGACCAAAAATAACACTCCGAGAGACACGTTCTTTCGACGACGACTGAACGCATCGGCCTAGCTGCTTAAATACTCGGCGGTATTCCTGTTCCATTTTCTAATTCTCCGACTGGCCTCGCTCACGTCATGACATGTCCTCGAAAGAGCACCTTTGATAGCAGAGCACCTAACACAAGACGCCATCTCTTCCAACTCGAGGCCGTGTCAGTGTCTCACAATGGCGTTCTCGCGAAGAGTGTGGCAAGTCACCCCATCCAACTTCCTTCGATCCCTTCTACCCAGTTTTATGGCCGACGCCGTGTGGCCTAAAGAGCCCTGCCACAACCATTCTTGCCGCCGCTCTCCAAGGCTGCATTCAACGTCCTACCTGGATGGCCTCCGCGGTATTGCCTCCGTTATTGTCTTCATATGTCACTATACTGAGAAGCGCCACGACCATTTGCTACCCACTTATGGACACTACCGGCTTCCTCGCACCGACAGCGGCGATATTGCCCTTACCCCCACCTCATCCTTTCTTCAGGTCCCGATTTTTCGTGTTCTCTATTCTGGACGGCCGGCAGTGCATGTGTTTTTTGTCATCTCTGGATTTGTGCTGTCCTACAAACCGCTACGCCTTCTCCACGGCCCCGAAGGTCTCGGAGCATGTTACTCTGCACTCGCGTCTTTGGCCTTTCGCCGACCCATCCGCCTGTTTCTGCCGTGCGCCGTGTCAACACTCGCCGTCGCTGTTCTTTGCCAAACCGGTCAGTTGTACGCCGCCGATACCACGTGGGCTGGACAGCTGCACAGTTGGGCTCAAACGTATGCGGGCCGCATTGCTTGGCCGTGGGCGTGGGACCGCGACTTGCGGCCCGGCTATGACATCCACTTGTGGACCATTCCGATTGAGTTTGCACACGCCATGCTGCTGTTTGTCGTGCTCCTAGCTCTGGCGCCGCTTCGCACGCAGGTACGGCAGGTGCTCACTGGGGTTCTTGCCGGGTATTGCTTGGCATGCGGGCGATGGGCGGCATTTGAGTTTCTGGCCGGCTTCGCTTTGGCAGAGGTGCATGTCCTGCGGGCGGCGACGGCGATGGCTGGTGACCATCGGTCTACGACGTTGAGTCATCTCGCTGCAGGGGCTTTCCACAGCACAGTGCTTGCCGCCTGTCTTTTTGTCGCCGGATGGCCCAACGAGGACGCCGACAAGACACCAGGAATCCGGGCGCTCCTCTCCAATACGCCGGCGTGGTTTCTCAGCAATGGGCGAGACGAGGCGTTGACTGAGAGGGAAGACTGGGGCGAGGCCCTCTTGGAGCAGAAGTTCTGGTTCGGCTTGGCCGCTGTGCTTTTGGTGTGGTCGTGCGGTGAGTTCGCCGCGGCACGGCGGCAGTTTGAGCGCCCTCTGGCGCAATACTGCGGCCGCATCAGCTATGCCGTGTATCTCGTCCACGGACCGGCCCTGGATTACTGGAAAGACATGACGGACAGGTTGGTTAAGCCCATCGGCATGGAGACGGCCGTACGGCGGATGACAACTTGGCTTGTGGGTCTCCTCTTCCTGGGCAGCGTGGTGGTCTGGCTGGCGGACCTGTTTTGGCGACAAGTGGACGCGCCGATTGTGGCTCTGGGACGCGCTGTCGAGCAGGTGTGTTTGCAAACAGATAGATGCAACGATACGTGGTTGTGTCTAGAGGCAAAGAAGGTTGAAGACAGACACGGGTTTACTGGCATTGTTGATTAGTTTTGTCAGGTGCTGCTGGTTGCATGACAGAAGAATAGCAATTGTCATGGGTAGGTGTATCGCAAGAACCACGCAGGTGAAGTAAATTAAAACGTCATACAAAACCCCTATGGTATGTGTATGTTAAATAGTTCAAACAGAAGTGGCATATGCGCCAACCTACAGCCAACGACCGGCAACCCCTATCCAACAAAACACCGTTTTAGTCCAAACAAAACCAATACCAACAAACGCGACAGAACCTCATCATTACTACATCGTTGCCATGCATACATCATTCGTTGAAGAATGAAAGGGATAGGAAAGAGAACGAGACAAACCCCAAGGAAAACAATTAACGGGAAGGCGGAAGTAGCCGTGCTGTCACGACTGACAACAGTTAAGGATCCAGCGCGCCGTCACCACCGTTCCCACGGAGCATATCCGGTTGGTCCAGCTCTTCCTGGCTGGAGCCGTACTCGGTATAGTCGGCCTCTTCCGAGTGGCTCTCGCTGCCCTCGGGGATGGGGACCATGGCGGTTTTTGTCCAGATGTGAATGGCACTGCGCCAGTCGAGGCCTTCAAGACAGCCACCTTTGACGGAGACGACGTTTTTACCCTAGAAGCAAGAAGGGAAAGAATGAGTCACAGTCAGATGCAGGTCCCACATGAGTCATCCATGCAACTGAAAAGGTACGATCATTGGGGGGATCTAGGGCATCTGGGGGAGAGGGAAAATATGCAAGATTATCTTACCGGCGTCGTGTGGAGTAGACGGGTGCCACAGCTTTTGCAAAAGTAGCTAATGGAAACGTAATAAGAAGGGTTAGAACGTGTTCCGATATGTCAATTGGCTTTGAGGTCTCGGCAGGATGCCTTTTCTTAATATAGAACGGGATGAGCCGTTCAGGGGGCAGGAGACAGATGACGCGACAATTATAGAAAGCAAAGAAAAGTTGCTTACCAGTAAAGGGTGGCACCAGACGACGTTGGACGGCTGCCAACAGTTAGACAGGCCAGAGAGCTCTGATTCGGCATTTGCATATGGCTTGACGGGTCACTCACGTATAGCAGCTAATGAGAGAATCGTCCGGCAGGGGAAACCGCGGGAAGATGGCACTGGTGCCAAAGGCTGAGCTTGACTGGCGACGACAGTCGTGGCAGTGGCAGATGTAGAGGGCGAGTGGTTTGGCAGTGGGCGTCATGAAACTGACAGCACCACACTGACAGCGAGCTTCCATGGTGAATGTGAAGAGAGAAAGAGAGGATTGGGACACAGAAGGGGGGAAAGGGGAGGCCGAAGAGTCAGACCGTTGATGACTGGCCGTGGCGATGTCGAAGTGGTATCATTCAATGACTTGGAGATAAATTGACACAATTGATTGCGACGAGTGGTCGGACAGAACAAAGACTCACAGAAAGAGAAGCCTCGCGGTTCAAATACAAAAACTGGTCATCAGCCAAAAGTGTGATGCAGTCATCGACGAGTCATTGGGAGAAAGATGAAATGACTGGTCTTGGAAAGGGGCCAAAACAGCGGTGTAAATACAATGGCGATGAAAACATAAGGCAATCAAAAATGAAATAAAATGGAAATGAAAATGGAAAAGAAGTGGAAATGGATTGAAACACCAGGAAAAATGATTTCAAGATTGCCGTCAGTCGTGAGTTGAGCTGCTGTAATTTGAGCGCTGCCCGTGACTCACAGTAGTTGTGTATCTGGCACGGAGCACCACCGAAACGGCAAGCCAGGCGGTGGAGAGCGACTGGAGATTCGATGCACTAGACGCTCGGATGCTGGTCGATTTGGAAATATATACGTTGCAGGGCCCGACTCATGAATTCTCCCTCGTATTCTTCGCCTCGAAGACAATGAGATATCCAACGATTTGTGGATTGCGCTGAGGCGCGGGTTCTTCTGTCGTTGATTTTTTGTTTCTGCTTTTATGGCATTAGTCATTTGCCAATTGTGCGAAATTCGTGTCTGTCCATGGCTGGCAGCAAGGCAAAAAGGCAGACGTCGTCGTCGTAATTCGTTGGCGATGTCGGACGCGAGAACAGTTGGGGTAGATGGAGGGGCAGGGAGAAATGTCCAAGGAGACGAGGGAGAAGGGTCTCTGTTGGACGTCATTAACGGCAGGCGGGCGATGCGTTGAATTTGGTCGTTGAGAAGGTGCACCATCCTGTCGCGTGGTCACATGTTGGGTTGGCACTGACGGCCTGTTCTTTCCTTGCTGCAAACTTGCTCTTACCTGCTACGGCTTCGTCGGTTTGTTCTCCAAGGGAAGGTGTGCCGGAGGCTTGTACTCCAAAGGAAGGAGCAATTGAGGTTTCGTCGCACAGGAAAGAGCGCCGGACTGACGTCCGTCCGTTCTCGATTTGCAGTTGCCTCTTCCTTGATTTACAGGCGTAGATTGCTGTGGAAGACGTAAAGAATGGCTCATTTCGTTGGTTTCGTCCGCTCGATCCTTCCCGCCCATGGAGGATGTAATACCCGTGTTGGGGGCGCGCCCTTGCCGTGACGCACAGATCGCGACCCTCTTTTTCCCATCACAAGGCCCCACCAAAGCCTTGTCAGTTACAGCGCTAAGACTTGGTCCTGGCTGGAGAAGGGAGTTGGGCTAGCTCGGCTAGGCATCCGGGCAGGTAACAGGCGCAGATGCCTCCAAGGGCGTTCTTTAAGAATACTGTATACAGAGCCTGGGGGCGAACTTTGGCTGGAGTTACGGAGACAACAGCCCGATTCGGACTTATGAAGGAAAGAGCGCAGGGCAAATCTACGCACTCTGTCGATATGTGGAGACAGATATCACGTGGCGGTCAGGCAACACGGGCAGAATTGCGCCAGGGGTCCGATAAGCGATAAGGCTCTTGCCTGGTCTAAGTCAACTCCGACCTCCAACGTCGTGCAGCCCCTTCCCCCCTTCTGCACTCTCCCTCCTACAACTTTTTTTATCCTTTTGCCTCATCAACAAACGCGTCGGACGACCCGGGTTTCCATCGCGGAAACCATCGAAAGTCATGGGCCGGGCACGCCGTCCGACTGCGCGACGCAGTCTCGGTTCCACTGTGAGCACTGGCCGTCTCCTTTCTCCTTTGCCACTGGGCCTTCGAGGTATGATTATATTTCTTTTCGGTTTGTTTTTTTCTTTTGCATCTCGACCTACATTTCTCAAAAATGTCTGCCATGCATCACCACACTCTGCCTACCTTCACTGCCTCTTCCCTACACTGCCAAGAAACTCAAGCATGAGAGTGGAATTTAATTTATTGCTTTTGTTTCGTCTTATGATATCTGATATCCGGCGTTGAACAATGCCGCCAGTCTCTGACAAACGCGGTAGATGACGAGTTTTTCTTTACCGTCCACCAGATCACGAAGCTGGGGGCGGTCAACAATACGCCTCCGCATCAGGATTTCATCAATCTCGTCTCGAGCGACGACGACGATATTGTAGTCTCACAACCGCCAGCAAAACGTACAAAGACTGAGGAAACCGTCAAATCTGACACCCACAAGGACTATGTCCCGCTCGCAAGATGCACGCTGAGGTTCTCGCGGGCAGCCGAGGACGACGCACCGCCACCAAGACGGCTTCGCCGGATCCCAGCCAACTCATTTTATGCTCTGCGCTACAGCAGTGGCAAGGGCCTTTCGATTACGGCCAGAGGCCGCAAGGTCCCCGCCGTCAGCGATGGTGCATTTTCACCAGACGATATTGGTGGCCTCAGCGATGCCGACAGGTTGATCCTGGACCACCTCGCAAAGAAGAGCACGTCGGTCGACCCACTGCCGGGTTGTTTGTTTACGGCCTACTTTTTCAGCGTTGATGTGGATAGCAACGCGGACACTGTGTCTTTGGTCATTGACCTGGAACTGCGATGGATGTTGTGCTCCTATGTCTCGAATCCCATGCACAGTGAAACGGAGCGCGTTTGGCAGGCGCGGGTCCTGGCGACACTCTTCCCAAATGTTATGCACGGCGGCGGGCATCAATATAAAAACGCCACCGACAACGATACGTGGTCACCCCAAGACTTTTACGAGTCTGCTCATGTGACGCGTAAGGACGACGACGAACCAGACGATCTTTATGTGCCGGGTCTCACCGCCAACCTCTTCCCCTTCCAGCGCCGTGCCGTCAAGTGGCTCCTGCGGCGAGAAGGTGTTCGGTGGGCGCCTGATGAAGCAACGTCTGTATCGCGTGGTACTGTCGACAATAGCGAGCCCTCCGTCGTTGTCCCCTACAAAGCCCCAGAAGACCGGGAGACAACCTCGCATTTTGTCGCAGTGAAAGATGCGGACGGACATCCCTGCTACATCAGCGAACTGTTTGGCGCAGCGACGCGCGACCCCTCCTACTTTGAGGCCTACGAGAACAGCATACGTGGTGGCATTTTATCCGAGGAGATGGGTCTCGGCAAGACAGTCGAAGTCATCTCGCTGGTTCTCCTGCACCCTCGACCAGCAGACCAACTGCATGCACCAACCTCGCCGGGAGGCCCAACGCCATCCGCTCGCCCGACAGGCGCAACATTGGTGATTGCTCCGCCGGCCCTCAAGAACCAGTGGATTTCCGAGATCCAGCAGCACGCACCGCACCTGCGTGTCATGGTGTACTCTGGCATGGCGCGGTCATGCGCCACCCCCGAGGACGAAGCCAATGTCGTGGAGCAGTTTGCGACGCACGATGTGGTTGTCACGACATACTCGGACCTCAAATCAGAACTGCATTTTGCCGTGGCCCCACCTGAGCGCAACATGCGTAGTCAATCCGACGACGTAAAACGATACCGGCCGCGGTCGCCGCTCGTTCAGATGTCCTGGTGGCGCGTGTGTCTCGACGAAGCACAGGAGATTGAAAACGGTGTTAGCAATACAGCGACGCTCGTGCGGATTGTGCCGCGCGTCAATGCTTGGGGCGTGACTGGAACGCCTGTCAAGGACGATGTCCAGGATCTGCGCGGCTTGCTGCTATTTCTTTCCTACGAGCCATATGCTTCCATACCGAAAGTTTGGCAGAATCTCACACGAAACCACAAGCCTGTGTTCCGCAACTTGTTCGGGCGGATCGCCTTACGCCACTCCAAACGAACGGTCGGCGACGAGCTGGTGATCCCACCGCAGAAGCGCTATGTCATCACGATGCCCTTCACGGCGGTCGAGGAACAACACTACCAGAGCCTCTTTAAACAGCTGACCGAGGCGTGCGGCCTCGACACGGCGGGTGCCCCCCTCTCCCCTGACTGGAACCCCAACGACAGTGCCGTTCTCGAAGCCATGCGCACGGCGCTCAGCCGCCTCCGCCAGACCGCTTTGCACCCCGAAATTGGTGTCCACAATCCCCGTGTTGGGCATCGTGCAGGGCCCATGCGTACAGTGGAGGAGGTGCTCAACGCCATGATTGAGCAGAGTGAGAGCGCTTTGCTTGCCACCCGACGCGCGATGCTGTCTTGCAAACTGAAACATGGCCAGTTATTCGAGAACTCGCCACGCGCGAAGATCGCCGTCGACATTTGGCAAGACGTTCTGGAAGAAAGCAGAGCGCTCGTCCAGGATGCACGTGACAAGCTCGAAAAGGCACAAAAGGAGACGGCCCTGGAAGAGGAGGCGGCTGGCACGTCAGGTCCCCACAAAACGAGCCCAGGCGACGAGAGCTCCGACACCGAGGATGACGATGACCTCCTGGGCGATGAAGATGGTCGTGGCAAGGTTGGTGGACGTGTTGGCGAGGCGCAGCGCGATCTGCGGCTTGCCCTCGAAATTCTACACAAGGCCGAGTTCTTCTGCGCCAACGGCTATTTTCAGATCAAGTCCAACGCAGAATGGACACGGCCGGATTCGGACGAGTTTCGGCGGCTGGAAAAGCTCGAAGTCGAGGGATACGAGCGAGCCAAGCGCGTTCGGCAGGAAATTTTGGCGGACAACCGCAGCAGAGCCATGCGCATCATGGCTGATCTGGCAGGCAAAGCCGGGACGCAGGGCTTCGTGGAGATCCCCGAGACCGAGTTTGCCAAGCCCGAAGGCATTGAGGGTCGGCGCATCAGCGACGAGCTGGACCACCTTGCCGAGGTCCTGAGCACGCAGGCAGCACAGATGGATGCGTGGCGCGAGGCTGTGATTCAACTTCTTCTCAAAGATCTGGTGGATGACGACGAAGACAAGGCCGGTGAGGCCGTCGAGATTACAGGCGACGAGTACGAGGACTCGACCAAAGTGCAAGACGAGATCCAGGCGTAT